ACGTTAAAATATTTTTTATTACATTTTTACGCATCAAAACTCTTCCCATTCACAGAAACTTGCCAACAATCATCCACATCTCCGTCAAACACTGATCTTAAAACTTAAATAAATTGGTGTGCATGCTTATATGCGTTGAAAATGTACCGGTCGGATTAACTCTTCCAAGACTGGAATACTAAATAATGTGTATGCAATAGAGATGTCATATACGAGTTTAAGAAAAACTTTACAAGCTAAAAACCTTCGTGGGGTATTTTTTTAGGTCCTCGTTTTTCAGTGCCAAAAAGTATAATATTGCTTTTGCTAGGTATGTGTGTAATCACGTTTAAGGAGCTTTATCCATCGCCACTGAAACACGGGAGCATTAACTTTGTGGCGAACGCAGTCATGCACATTCGTTTCATGGTACGGTTGTATCGTACTTACTACAAACTCCCTCACTTAAGCCTGCACAAGTAAAAAGAACCCCCGTCTAGCCTTTGCAGGCTCTTGGAGCAAGTGCTGTCAGTGAGCACCGATCAAGGCTGGGCATGGCAGACGGGGGGCACACGAGGGGGTGGGAGGCCAACACCATGCCCGGCCACCTTTATCTCCCCAGCGCTGACGTTTCCACATCAAGGAGAGGCCCTGGACCGATTAAAATAGTCGCCACTGTTTTTGGTCGTGGATGGGAATCGAACTCAGGTGGGCCGGGTTCTTATGTAATGCTCGCAAACAAAGACAAAGATCCCCCATATAGCCTTAACAGACTGTAGGGGCAAGTGCTGTTAACGAGCACCGTATGAAGGCCGCAATGGTACACGAGGGGGTGGGTGGCCAGCACCACGCCCGACCGCCTTTGTCTCCCTAGTGGTGATGTTTACACACCGCACCAGGTACTCATTTGAGGCTGAGTCGACCTAGGGGAGGCCTAGGACCGGTTCAGATAATCGTCACTGGGTGTTGGACGTGAGCGGGAATCGAACTCGGGTGGCCGGGTTCATAGCGCAGCGTAGCGCTAACCGCTACACCACCGCTCCCCATAATGCTCGCAAACACACACACACATGCAATCGTCTTAAATCCATCACCTCGTTCTGGCAAATGCAAGAGTTAACTTGCTGCTGAATACCTCCGTGGCTTAAGCAAAGTAGCTTGTCGCCAGGGTATAGCTTTCCCAAATGGATTTCTTTCACAGCAAAGAAGAAGAAGAGAGAGAGAGAGAGAAAAAACAGAGACCAAGAAACGCCACTGGCCAAAGTCCATTCAACTCCAGCCCGTGTTGGCTGGGAAATACCTCGGGTAACAGATTAGGGTTCGGTCTTGTGATCATGCGAGGTTCATTTGAACGCAGTGGAAGTGTTGGTTTTGGGGCGAGCGTTTACGCCGTAGCGCACGTTTCACGTTCGATCCTCCAGCGGGCTGTTGGTGCAACGGGAAGGTGTGTGGGTGGGGTGTGTTTAGTCACGCGCGGCCCCTTCACGAACTAACACTTCGCCAGCAGTCCAGCACTCTCTGCACACATTGCCGATTGTTACGGGCCACAAAGAAAGGCTGCCCCCACCCCCCACCCCCCGATCTCGTAAAAAACGTCAACCGAGGGGGGATTCTACCAAAAAAAATGATACCGTCACTTTGTGGACGGGGGGTAAGAATGTTTGCCGGTGCTTTCAAAGCGCTGGCAGCCTTTTCGTGCATTTCGTCGGTGCAATGTTTGTGGAAAGGTGCTAATGCAATCAAGTCACAATGCGCACGCTGCTGCTGCTGCTCCTGTGAACATTAGCAATAGTTTGTGTTCTCTGACAGCGTGCAATGATTCCAGGTAAAGCAGTGTTTGCTGGTTCCAAAGTAGAATTGTTATTTGTTTGTTTTTCAGTGGGTTTCCGTACTTCCCTTTAACACGTAAACAAGAGCAGTCGCCTCCGTGCTCGCGTGTGTAGGGGGGGGGAGCGGTGGTGCAGTAGTTAGCGCACTGCTCAACGAAAGCCGCTCGCGGCCAATATGAGGTGACAATTCTATTATCTGATCCGGTCTCGGGTCTCCCCGAGGTCGACTCGGCCTCAGAAAAATACCCGGCGTGACAACATCACAAGACAAAGGCGGCCGGGCGTGGTGCTGTCCACCCACCCCCTCGTGTGCCATGCTGGCCTTCATAGGTGCTCACTAACAGCACTTTTCCCAAAAAGTCTGTGGGGGTGGACTATTTGCTGTCCATCCAGGTGTGCATAGCTCTTACGTACTGTGCGTGCTACGGTCGGTAAATATGCATGCAGGCGCATTTGCAATGTGTACGTGTACCAGGGGTGCAGTGTTTCCGAACTGTGGCGGGTCGAGTGCTTAATGCATTCGAATTGAATTGATGCTACGTGATCAGCAGGGTGGCAGCGCCATGTTCACGCTTGCGCCTCGCAGCGAGGAGGGCCCTATTCTGCCCCTGATGCGCACGGGTCTCCTCCGAGTTCTCCACTTTCCTCACATCGCTAAGACAACTCGCAATGAAACTGGTGATTGACCAATCATCCTGGCAGAATGTTGCTGGAAAAAAGAGGCTTTTCTGGGCATAGAAGTGGAACGAGAAGCATGCGTGTTCAGTGCAGCCCTGTACGCTTGCGAGGGACTTTGACATTAAAAAAATTAACCCGTAAAAACAAAGTTTTTCACTACAAATCCTTTATATGCGTGTTCAATGGGCCACAACCCAGCCCACATTGGTCTTTGCAACGGGCGGCTAGAGTCCTCTCGTCCTCTGGCTTGAGATGGCTGCCACCTATGGGTCAGATGATTGCCTGTCTCCATTAAGCAATTGGTAATTAAATAAAAAAAATACCTAAAAAGTGGAAAATTTTGGAAAAAAAATTTCACGAAAAGAAATTGTCACGCACAACGAGTCTGTGTGCAAAATGTCAGCTCGATTGGATCACGGGAAGTGGGTTAAAAAACGACCGAAAGATTTGCACGGTCGTAAGCAAGCAAGCAAGCGCGCAAGTGAACTTAATATAAAGGATTTTAAAACTGAAAGAGATAAGCTATTGGCACTCGAGATGTATTGCTACAGAAGGATACTGCATCTAAGTCGCACCCAAAGAGTGATCGACGTTAAAGTAAGAAAGAGGTTTCACCTGCTGGGAGCAGTGATGAGAAATTAACTGGCACCATTTGGACCCACATGTAGGATGAACAAGAGCAGGGAAATTAAAAGTGCGTCCTGAAAAATGGAAGGAGCAGGGAAAGAGAGGAATGACCTCACAGTGAATGTCTTGGCGACAGAAAAGATTGGTGCCAATCTGCTTGAGCATAGGTGGAGAGCAGGTCTTCTCGACAGACCTGCTCTCCACCTGAGGACGGCTGCTTGCGTTGTGGCCGAAACGTCGTTAGAATTATTTTATTATTTCCATTCTACGTGCCTTTACCGAAAGAACCAAGAAGAAGATGAGGATGATGATATTACATAAATAACACTGCAGTATATGTGATGGATGTATGTGCATGCATGTGCATTTTAAGTACATGCAATATCCAATATGAATCCTTACGTAGTTTTTTTTCCATCCCAACCTCCTGGGTAAATACATGCTAAATCGTGCGTATTGATTTCACTAGACACTCAACAGTGAAGTGTGCACTCACAAGTAGCTCAAGCATAGCTAACAATTGTCAATGCAAACTGCCTATTTTCTGGTATATATTAAAAATACGTCAATGATGAAACGTCCACATGTGACTAACTTACAAATGGTTTCATGAACTTCATGTACTTGGTAACATGTGCCAATGTGTGACTGTTTATCTTATTGCTGTTTTACTATAGGCCCATTGATGTACGATCATGCTATTACGTTGTGTGTGGTTAAAAATGTCATCAGCATGACATGGAAAGCATTCGTTGTGGATGTTCTGTTTTGAGTACGTGGTATCATCTATTTTCCGTTGAACAATTTAATTCGTTGAATAGTTAATTATCTTAAACGTTATATAGTGAGGAATAACGTTAATCTTGGCAAATTATTCCATTGAGCTTATATTTCCCTGTTTAGGTGAGATTTGCCATTTCGTTGATTCTGATCTGTGAGTAAGAATGTATGAAGGGATCACTTGACATGTGTGGACGTCCCAATGATGGCCCCATACACAGCCGCAGCTGGGTACAGCGTGGGAACAAGTCCCTGGGGGACCTAATGAATTGCTCACTCATTGTGCCTGACCTTTGAACCTGGAAGGCACCGAGGGACATCATGAATTCGCTGAGAATCGTTTCTCGACTTCTGCAACTGATGCATGGCACCTCCCATTGGCACCTCCCATTGGCTAACCGCGCCAATTGGAGGTGCGGGGGAAGGACGACAAACTAAACACAAAAATGAATTCTAAACAAATGAGTTTTCAATCGAGACTGAAATGTGCATAGCTCCAGAGGCTTCCTCATATCGGAAGGAAGAACGTTCCAGACAGCCACAGAAGCGTATCTGAAAGTTAACGATTCGCTAATTCTTTTTCCGATGGCGAGCCACAAGCCACTGATATTGGTACTCCTGTTTGTTCCTTTCGCATTACGTTATTTATTTTTAGATTAGCTACACGGAGTACAATGAAACGATACGGAAACAATCTGCATTCCTACTTTTTGCAAATGTTAAAATTGCTCGACGCACCTCGCTCCGCAGCAACTCCTAAATTCCACGGTGGCTAATATTCTAACATATGCACCACACCGCACTTGCAAAGAAAGGTGCAAATTGCGTTAATTGTTGTGTGTACGTCATGAATGGCAAGTCTAATTAAATCTCTTTTAATCTCAAATATTATTACATTGTGCTCAGCTACCATTGTTCCATCAATTCCTGGGATCTGGCCTCGTACCCTAACATGTTCCTCGTAATGCTCTGCCAAATATAGACCTCTTCCAATTATTCATCTTTTTAAGAATTGAAGTGAATATCGTACTGAAGTCGAACTTGTATTTATCTTTGTTGCTTTGTCTCTCTTTCTCCACGTTCCCATCTGGCCGTGCGTGCTCTCAGGCCTCTTCCCAGCCATCCTGAACTTGGCCTCCAACGCCAAGATCCATGCCAATGCCACGTGTGGTGAGAACAGCGCCGAGATCTTTTGCAAGCTGGTGGAGCACGTGCCAGGCCGGCCCAACCGCAACTCCCAGTGCCGCGTCTGCAACTTAAACAGCCACATCCCTGACGGTGGGTCCACCAATTGCTCATCGTTAAACACACCAGTCGTGCACGTATGTTGCGTGCATATATGGTGTGCGACGTCCTGTATCTCACGTATACGCCCTGACCAATTGCAGCTTACACCCGGTGGGGTAAAACTGTTATTTTCTATAGATGTTCACTTAGTTTTGCATGTCTTTTATATACAGATTTACGACATACCGGATCCATTTAAATGTAATCTGCTATTGTTTAGTTGTTTTAGTTTATTGTAATCAACATCAGTTTGAAACAGGTAGCCAGGAGATGGTACTACAGAAAATAAGGCTTGAATATGTCTGTGGAGTTTGGAGTGTTACCCCTGGTATATGTGGGTTTTCTCTGGGTTTACTCCCACATGGCAAATAGAGTTTTAGGGTGTAGAGGTTATTTTGATTTGTTAGCTTGGGTATCTTGCAAGGGAGATCAATGGTTCCCCTTGAGAGCAAGAGGCACCAGCAAAGTTCAGCACAGGCACAAGTAAGCTGTTTACTTTAACGATATAAACACACGCACGTAAAAAAGAGGCACCAGAAAAGTTCAGCTCTGCATCTTGGTCTCGTAGGGGAATAAAGAGGGAGAGTGAAGGGACCGAACTAAGCTGTAGATGGGCAGCAGGGGGATTACAGAAGCATCGAGCAGCAACGCCAAACCTCCCAATACAAGACTCGAGATGGATCTCGGCTTTACTGGGAATATACAAAAAGAGATATGTAATTTCATGTTATTACCAGGGCAAAAAATTGCATACGTTATCATGCTCATGCGACCAAAAATTATATTTCATCATAAATTGATCTCAGCCCATGGTGAATTGTATATATAAGTGCCGCTTTAAGTCATATACAGCATGACATGTAAAAAGGGACATTGCCTTCCTCTTCTGTGAAAAGAACAAAGCAGAGCCAGAGAATGCCATGTCCATTGATGTCCCGAACTACACACGTAGTGTTTAACCCTTGCTGCATGGCGCACAGACAGGAACCGCCGCGCTGCATTGTGGTCACAGTTTGTTTCGCGTGTTTTTCTGACCGCAGAGCGCCACCCCATTACAAACGCTAATGACGGCACCAACGGCTGGTGGCAGAGCCCGAGCATACAGAACGGCAGGAAGTTTCACTGGGTCACCATCACGCTCGACCTACAGCAGGTGAGACATCGAGCATTACTGGCACACAGGTGTGGTTTTTTTTCGTTCTTTTCTTCTCTTCTTCCTCCCGATGTGATGTTCGGCTCGTGCTGCTTGTTGTTCGGCGTTGTGTCCGTTCACACGTGGAGCGAGACGCCGGGCGCTGTGCCGGACTTGCCGTGGCACTCCCCAAAACGCAACTGGAGAGAGTTGTGCGAGCACCATGGGTCGGAGCCAGATTACAGTTTGCCAGGCAGTTAGAGGCAGCCAATGAGTGTTGTTGAACTTTTTCATCTGATGTTTAGAATCGGAGTAACAGCATTCAGTGAAACTACTGAGACATATTACCAAATTGGCCATGCACGTGTTTCATGGATTGATTGATTGAATGTATTTGTTTACGTGGGTGAGAAATATTCATCCTTAAGCTATTTTACAAGAATGACTTGTGGAGGACTTTGCTTTGAAGCGCAGCGGAGTTGAGCCTGGTATTGGTACTTGCATTGGCGACTGCCTGTGAACACCAAGTGTTGAAGGTTTGGGCTGTGAGAGGTGGCTCTGAAATGTCAGAAACAGAAATGGATTCTTGAAACTCTCTGCACGTAGCTTTAAGTGGTATCATCTTGCAATGATTGATTTTTTTTTATCCGGGCACCTGCCCAACACTCGTTAATAGAAATGGCCAAGCCTTTGCAAAGGGCAACTCACCTGCGCCAAGTAAATTATATGATTATTGTAAACAAATGGATATATTACTTTTCTCATTTTCCCAGCCTATGTGCAGTATTGTGGTTACCTATTAAATGATTCAGCTCTCGTTTGTTTTACGTATTTGGCCAAGGTATTACTCACAACAATCCTGGTCGCAATTCCACACGGGATGAGTGAAGGGGGACCATCTTAAGATTGTTCTAGGCCATCAGGGACTGGAGCTTCATCTTTAGATATTAATTGCAATTCTTTAGGTTTTGACCGAGTGAACCGTGTGGCTTTTAGAAGATTAATGCAGAGATTGACTTTTCTCCAATGTCACACTTAATGAGAGTCACGCGCGTGCTTTAGCTACCATGAATCCATTAAAGTTCACTTTATTTGTATAATTCACCTTCAGTTTTTTTTTCTTTCCTAAGCAGTATGTGAGCAATAACTGCATACCAAGCTTCACTCCTCCTCCCTCCCCCACTACCATACAATCTCACCGATCAGGGAGTTATCCACCGGCGTAGCGAAGAACTACGGGCCAGTTTCGCATAGATGCAGGAATCATGTGATATTTAGAGGCGATGATAGCACGCAGCATTCCTGCTGTTGTAGATAAAGAATTTCTAACATGGTGGAAACAAATCGGCCAGCAAGTTAGGAGCCACGGGGCTTCACGGATAGGCGGCTCACATTTTTTTTTCTGATACACTTATTTACTCGGGAAGGTCTCGCTGAGTCACGTGACTTTTTGTTCAGGTGTATCCCGCCAAGCGTTGCAGCAGCTATTATTGCGAGCAAGTTATTTGAGGGAAATTGATCAAATTCACCAAAATGCGGACCACGATGCTGGCACACAATTGTTGCACGTATTTTGTTCATGGTTAACTAGCAAGCCACACATTTTGGATGTTGCTGCCCATCCATCTCTCTCCCAGTTATCCAGCCAGCAAAAATGTACGCTGATATAAAGCCCTGTCTCTCTCCACCTGCATCTTGCCTTTTCTGTACTGTATATCACAATTTATCTCGATTTATCGTTTATTCGTTGTATCCGGTACTCAATTCCTCTGCCCCCCTCTCCTCTCTCCACTCCCCCCCATCTATGTCCGTTTCCACCTCTCACCTCTCACCCTCCATCACCCGCCCTCTCCCTTTCCCAGCTCAATCTCTCTTGCCTCCCCCTAATCCTCCCTCCCACTGATTATTAGTATCGCTTTCCCTCTGCTCTCCTCTTTCCATGTTGCTCTCTCTCTCTTTCCTCTCCATTGCAAGCCCTTTGTCTCCCCGTCCCTCTCCTCCTCCTATCTTCCTCACTCCTCCATTTTCCCACCCACGGCGCTCCCTCCGTTGTTTCCGTTTAGTATGGTAGTACGATCGTTTGAGAGTGATAGGTGACAGCAGAATAGAGCGTGCCGCACATTTGTGTGGGATACGCATCCGGGGTGGAGCACGACACACACGAACCCGGCTCGACGCTACGGGATGCGGGTGACATCATCGCGCACGCAACACTTTGAAGCGCGGCACCCAGCCAGACAGGAATCCACCCAGGTCATCCAGCCTGAAAACCTCCTCCTCTTTCTCCCTTCACCCTTCTCCCTTCTCACTTCTCCCTTCACCCTTCTCCCTTCTCACTTCTCCCTTCTCCTTCTGGATTTGATCCGCGCGAACCTTTGGCACGAGCGCGCTAGCGGGCTCGGCCACGTGACGACGACCGGCATTTTGACGTCCGTTACGGACCAATTCCAGTCGGGGTCCCTGGTTCCCGGCACGATCGCCGGCGGGTTGGTGACCGAGCGCCCATCGTTAATCCCCGGGGCTGATTGCAGCAGACGCAGCCTCCAGCCCTCGTGATGGAGCTGTCGACGCTCGTTAGCGTGACGGCCACATGCGCGCGCGGCCATGCGCCCAGGCTCGGGCCGACGAGCAACGCGGGAGTCGTATGATCAGCGTCTCGCGACGGGGACTGTTCCTCACACACGCTCTTTGTTTGTCTACGCTTTTTTTTTATAATCAAGGAATTAACATAGTAAAGGTTGAAATAGTGTTCATACTCTTAGTTCTTTCGGTAAAGTCACGTAGGAAAGAAATTAAATTAATAAAAATAAAACAATAAAAATCACGACGTTTTATTTTTATTAATTTCATTTTTTACCTACGTGACTTTACCGAAAGAACTAAGAGTATAAATCCTTGCAGTCACGAAAGCTTCAAATCTAGAATTGAAATAGTGTGTTGCTTTATAATTTCTCTAGGCCTTTGCGGAGATATACCTTACATATTACTGCATTGTCCATGTATTCTTAGGTAATGAAGTAGTTGATTGAAGGAGATTGAGCAATATTTTTCTTTGTTCCAATTCCAGAGGTACGTTAATCTTTTTCAATTGTCTATTTGGCAAACTGTTATTGTTTCGTATTGGTTTACAATCAAAGAGGATGCTGCCACAGCAGTGCAACGGGTTGCGCACTGGACATGCAATCCAGAGCGTCGCCGGTTCGATTCGACCTCCCGGCGCGGCAGTTTAAACAATGAGCGACTTTAGTAAAGCCTCTGTCCGACTCGGAATTATAAATGGGTGCATCACAGCTAATCGATCGGCAGGTCGTATGCAGTGGGGTCAAGTGTGCACGCGCCCACCTCTTCCAAGACGTTTGACCGGCTTGGAAAAGTAGACAAACATTCCTTCGAGAGCTCCTAGGGGAAGTCCTTCTGCCAGCAAGTAATTGCCGGGCTGCACCTTTACCTTTTAAAATAAAGCACTGTTCTTCACGCAGTTTAAGAAGGGGGGGGGGGGCACTTTCGCCAATTAGACATCGGTGTGAAGCCCCCCACACATTTGAAACAATTTGGCTTGGTGTTTTCACACTTTGTGTATTGTGGGGGGGCCGCGCGTCAGAGGCCGCACTAAAGGCCACCGGGTGGACGCTAGTGGCACGCGGGCCTTGCGATGAAGGAACACTGCAAGGAAAGGCCGAGCTACGTACGGTAGTTCCGAGTGTGATAGAAAAACTAAAATATTCAGTAAATTGTGAAACAAGAGTCGGTTGTGGTTTGTTCATTAGCACTGCAGGAAAACCAAAATGTTGTGCTCTACTTTTCCCATGATAAAGGAGGAACGGTGACCACACACACACACGCACCCCACACACACGCATACGCACCCCACACACACACATGCGCAAATCACACACGCACACCACACACACACCCCACACACACGCACCCCACACACACACATGCGCAACACACACGCACACCACACACACACACCACACACACCACACACCACGCACACCACACACACACACACCACACCCCACGCACACCACACACACACGCACACCACACACACACGCACACCACACACACACGCATCCCACACACACACGCACACCACACACGCACACCACACACACACACACGCACCCCACACACACACACGTACACCACACACGCACCTCCACACACACGCACACCACACACGCACACCACACATACACATGCGCACACCACACCTGTGAACGGCTGAAAAGGAAACATATCAAAGACCTTGAAGGCCCACACCCCCCACATTGACTTTAAACGGGTTAGCAAAACGATGTAGTTTTTGAGAGCATTAAAAAAACATCAAACCTTCATTGTGTAACCGTGTGACCTGATGCTGCACTTGACTGAAGGGAAATTTAGGCTGTCATGATGGTAGGGGCTGAGTGCACAGCCCTTTGTTCCATAGGGTGATTGTGACAGTGGTTCCTAAACATAGTTTTTTTTTAAAAAGCTTTTTGGTACTTATAGCATGAGAATGTCTTCGTAAACATTGGGGCTTTGTTGTAAGTGATTGTAGATCGTGTGGCACCTTCACTATCAGCAGCAGCAGCAATGCGGTATCTTTGTTGCAAAGAAATTAAATCAAAACTTGGAAATATTAAATAATACTGGACTCATTATTGTGATTCCGCCCCCCCCCCCTGACTAGAGATACATTTTTTCATGAGCATTCGCATTTCATCGATTTAAAATTAATATTACATTTTAAGTACAGGACTATTATTACCTGAAATATCAGCGGGTATATATTCGTTGACTCTTAAGGGCAATGTGATTGATGAATGAGTTGATTTTATTGTCAATTATCATTTTAATGTGCGTGTATCACGGCCAACACAGTATCACACGTTATACTTTTTTTATTTTAAACATCATATTTTATATCCTAGAACAGGAACGAAAAGGTGGACGGAGTGATCTAACCCAAGGCCGTAATGATAATATATTTTTGGGGACACACATCCCCCCCAATCTATATTATAATCTCT